GGCTGCCGGCCCAGTGGCCTTTCCCTGCCCAGAGGCGATGTTGGAAGCGGCCACCGCGGGGAGGGCGCGGAGCATGGCAGTTATCGCCGCGCCCGCCCGCAGGGAAGGCGGCTGTGGGGACCTCGGGCCGCAGCCGCGGGGGGAGCGACAGCTGTCGATGGCGCGCCCGGGGACTGCGCCCCCGCTGGGCCGACCCGGCGCCGGGGCGCGCGGAGGGGTGGCGAGGGGCGGGGCGCGCGGGGCGGGACGGAGGAGGGGCGGTGGCACCGGCGGCTCCGGCTCGGCGCGCGGAGGAAGTCCCGCTCCGAGAGCTGCGAGCGTCTGGAGGAGGCGCGCTCGGCGCAGTCGGGGACCGAAGTCCGGAGCGAGGGGCCCCTGTGCCGCCGCCCCCCCGCCCGCCGCCCGTGCAGCCGGAGAGCCCGCGGCGCCGTCGGTGGCCGCCGATGGAGTTCACTTGAGCCGGCGGGAAAGGCAGGCGCCCGCGGAAGGAGTGCGGGCCGGAGCCGAGCCAGCCCCGGGCGCTCCCGGCCGCTCGCCCACCCGAGACCTCCGGCCCGGAGGCGCAGCCTGCCGGGCGCCCGGGCCACTGCAGCGCCTCCGCGCCGCTCGCCAGCGCGATCGGCCCCCAATAAAGACTCCCGGAGGGGCTCCCCGCAGCGCCGCGCCGCGCGGGCGGCGGCGGCGGGGACACCAGCACCCGCCGGCCCGCAGCGCGCCTGGAGAGGCGGGACCGGCAGTCGGGGAGCCCGAGGCGGCCGCCGGGGAGAAACGGCCGCCGCCGCCGTGCGCCCTCCTGCTCCTCCTCCCTCTCCCTCCTCCCTCCCTCCGCACATGGTCTCCTTTGTCCTGTCGCCGCCGCCTCGCTCTTAGCTCCGCGCACCGCGGCCGCGGCTCGGGCCGCTCCTCTCCGCCTCGTCCGCCCGCCGACCCGCCCGGGACGCACCCCCGGGCCCCCGCCGTGCCCGCCGGCCCCGCGCGCCGCAGGAGCGGCCGGGAGGCAGCGAGCGAGCGCCGGCCGGGCGCCCTCGGCGGTGCGCGCGCCCTCCCGCCGCCTGCCCGGCCTCGGCCGCGCTGGATGTGCGCGCGGCTCCACCTCGGCCGCCCGCGCCGCCGCTCCCGGACGGATTTGCTGCGCTTGCACCCGCGCTCGGACTTTGGCGAGGAAGGAGAGACTTGCGGACCGGCCCCTGCCGGAGTTGGGCGTTTTCGCTTCGCGTGTTGGGCTGTTTTCCCCTCCCCGGGTCGCTGACGACCCCCCATCGCGAGCCCTGCGAAGGAACCAAACCATGAACTTGGGGCTGACAGGACCTCGGTAACCCCCGGCCACCAGGTAATGCAGCCTCGGGGGCGCGGCTCCTCGCGCGCTCGCTTGCTGTCGGAAGGGAGGCGGCCGGTCCAGGGATCTTTTGTTGCGGCGGCCGGGCCCGCGGGCAGGGGTGGCAGGGGCGGGCTGCTCGCGTCTGGCGCGCCTGAGCCCCCCTTCGCCACCCCTCCTTCTCCTCCTGCTGCCCTCCCTTCCTCTGCGGCCCGGTCGCCCGCCTTTGTACTTTCCTCCCTCCGCCGAACCGGCTGGATCCGGGCGCCGTGGCGCGGGCGGCCGAGGTGGCTCGGCGATGCCCGGGGACCCCAGCCGCCCCGGCGCCTACGCGCCCCGAGGGGCTCCGCCTAACTCGGGGGCCCGGGCCTGCACCCGCTGGGGCCGGGAACCTGGTTGCGGGGCTGCTGGTGGCCGGGGTGGCGCTTCCCCCGCTCCAGATCGGGGTCCTTGCCCGCGCGCCGCGCCGGGGGAAGTGAAAGGAGCTCTGCGCTCGGGATCGGCTGCAGTTGGGGACAGAACTCGTGCTCAAGTTTCGGGGCCGTTTTTCCTTTCTTTTTGGAAAGTCCCTCCTGCTCCGGGGTGCGGGTGTCCAGGGTGGCCCCCAGGGTCTGAGGCCGAAGGAAATTAAGGTGGATCTAGCATGGGCGCGCCGGCCACCCATCCCTGTCTGTGCCCGAGGCTTTTTATGCGTTGTCCTCTTGCTCCGTGTTTTTGCCTCTCATCTGACTTATTTAACTTTTCTTTCAACATCCACTACGACGTCTAGTAATTTTTTAATATTAAAAAAATGCATCTGCTCGCCCCCTCCCCATAAAAGGCAACCAAAAGAGAACTTTGCTTTTCTATCAGTTTTAAATGCAGTTACTTTAGCCCTCGCCCTCCAAAACCAAGCGAGGCGGTTGAAATCAGATGACTAGCAAAATCTCAATGTCCTTAGCGTGTGGAGGTACCCGTGTGCTTTAAAAAAGGAGAGACGAAAACGCTCCGTTTTTTTCTGTTCATTCTCGAATCACCGCCTTTCGTTCTGTTATTACTGATTTAAAAAAGAAATCAGGTGATAGAAGGAATTGCAGATTTTTTCTGAAAACAATGAAAAGAAAACAACTCGAGGATTCAAACCTAAGGAGCTAAATATTTGCATCAATGCTTTAAAAGTATAAGTAGAATTAAGAAAGTTCACGGAGGAAAAGCATATTCTTGTAGTGTCCACTTAAGATTTTATCTAAAAAGCTCTTTCGAGACTTTTCAGGACAGTGGTCTGCTACAGTTTTAACCCCTTGGTGGGAAAAAGAAGGGATTTGGAATCATTTTTTGATTCGCCAAATTCCCATTGCAGTCTTTTTCTTCTGGGGGTTTTTCCGTGGAGGCCTTTTTAAGGCAGACCCTTCCCAGTGGCAGGAGCCACCATTTCAAGCTCCCTGACATATATCAGAAAATTTAAAGACTCCAGAAGCTTTTATTGGAAGGCATGCACCCAAGCCTCTCTGAATATCCTCTCACTTATTTCCTTGTTAACTTACAGATTGGCATCCTAGTAATCACATCCTCTAAGTTTACTTCAGATATAAACATCACTTTACCGCCTGTTTGAGAATTCCTGTGTACCCTAGTTACTGACAAAGGTGGTAGCCCCAAGGAGGGTGTGAAAGACAACAGAAGGGCCTGCTCACTCACCTACAGCATCTGTCCTGTTTGATCTCTCTCTCTCTCTCTCTCTCTCTCTCTCTCTCTCTCACACACACACACACACACACACACACACACACGCAACACACACGTTCCAAGTACAAATAAAAACTCAATCAGGAGCCATTTCTTTCCCTTTCCCATAGTTTTTGCTTTGGGGTGCAGTAATGTAGTTTTTATATTTCTTTGCGCCAAGTAGACTCATTTTAATAGGTAGTCGCCAAATTTGCAAGGGATGTTTCTGTTTGGTAAAATGATTTAATTAACAGACCTCCTCCCCCGCCCCTTTGAAAATATCAGCTAGTTTATTTTTCAATCCATGAATTTGATATAACCATCCCAGTTTGAACTAAGAGGCACTTTTAATGAAGAATGGTGAAATGCTCTTACCTCTAAGTTTTTAACGGGAACTTACATTCCTCGAATTTTCAGTTTAGTGTTTCGGTGTGAGAACATGATTTCTGTCTGTAATAATTTCTTTTAGAACTCAGTATTCTTGATCTGTTTGAATATCTCATTTCTCCTCCATACAACACTTTTTTGTTTGTTTTTATTAAAAATTACTATAATTTGTAATTTTATTTAATTATGTTTAAGATATCAGGATGGCCCTCCGCATGGTTCTTATCCATGCAAAAAAAAAAAAGAAAAAAATTTATTTAGGGTTTATTTTAAACTGATTATGTGTAGATGTATGCAGTTCAGCACTTGTTTTGCACATACATTCATTTTTTCCTTGATCTGCTCATCTTCTGAACCGCCCTTATAGTAGAAAAACTAGAATTAAAATAAAGGGAAAGCTAGTCACTATCAAAATGTTTTGTTTTTCTGTGTCACTTGCACTGAGAACTAGAACAAATTGCCCAGATGTACACAGGAATATTTCATTTTTGTCAACATAACACAAAAAGACTTAAGTTGAAGATCTTCTTTGTCCCCAAAAGCCAGCGCCAGACTCAGAATATGCTGTAGTTCGGATTTCCCCTATTTCTTATATTTTGTTTTTCTATGTTCAACATTCTATGCTTTGTCAAAACATGCATCTGTGTATAAAGTGGGACAGACAAGTGATTTCTTATTACTTGTATGTTTATTTTGTACATATGGTTATGTAGCAAAAAACAGTTTAAATATAGCCCATATAACTTTAAAGGCAGATCCATCTTCAGATTTTATAGTGGGGTTGCTTAATTTTTTAATTTATTTTTTTGAGTTTTCAGGCTCCAGAAATATTCAATGCTTCTGAAACATTACAGCATTTTTCTTCAAACCGCTTCATGTTTATTTTTCAGAACGTTACTGTATAATTTCAATTGGCTTTACTCTTACTGTTTAAACAGGCTTATTTCACTTTCCTCAAGCTCCTGGAATAATTAGCAGACATGATCTCTAAAAAATGGAAAGGAAATAACGCTGATGGCATGTATAGTTGGGGCCGGGGGCAGGTCAGCTTGCTTCTGTTTCATCGCTAAAGTCATCCTGATTACTATACCAGAAAGGATCTTGGGGTCATCAGATGAGCCTTGAAAAATTAATCTTTTAAAATTAATTTCTGAGAGTACTATGACTTTTAGTGAGAAAAAGCTTAGCAGTAAATAAAGGACTTTTCTGGTTTGTGAAAGAAAATTGAAAAATAGGTATGTCTGCATAATATCATGGAAAAAATACCATTTCCAAAATAATGATCTGTCAACAAAATTGCAAAATCATTGTGTGAATAAGCTGAATTGCTTTGTGTATCATTTTATAGAAATATGTTTTGCACAGATAATAAGTCTAATAAGGACACGTTTTTAAAATCAGATTTTTCCCCCCAGCAAATAGCTGCACTGCAGGTCTCTCTCATGCAGTCAACTAGCACCACCTTATGGAGGACTAGAGGAAATTATTCCCTTCCTTGTTAGACTTTTCTAAAATGTAGTAAATTGATTTCAAATAATAGTAATGATGATGGTCGTGACAATAACAATCCTCTTTTCCCCTTCTTGTTTTTCAGGCATCAGATGCCAGCTCTGAAAAACTCTTCAATACTGTTGTTGTAAACAAAGGTAAGAGTCTCCTGAATTATGAGCAATGGCTTGTTTTTATATTTGTTTCATTGTCATTGCCTAGGAAGAAAGAATAAAACAGTGTGGTTTTTCTCTTTGCATTCTGGAGCTACTGTACATGTGCTGTGTTTTTGCTTGATACAGAATCTGTATGCTTTTGTTATGTATGTAAAACAGTTTATTTTCAAAGAATACATAAATCTCTTATTTGAATCGATTTGACTAAGAAATCAGTGCTATCAACATGGGTTTAATTTAATGTAAGAAACTGTAGTGGAGAATAACAGTTCCTAACTTTATCTATTGCCTTAACTTTATTGTTACTTATCAACTACCCAGCAGTCGGAGAACTATAAATACCCGATTTGTCCCGCAGACTCTAATAACCAGTGAATGTTTAGTATTCACAGTATTATCGTCATAAACCAAGCCTCACTTTGCCGTGTGCTTTCTGAAAAGTTAATAAATGAGCAAGAGGGCAAAATTTAAATATGTACTATCCCATTAATTTGTTCCAAACTGCAATATAAAGTAAGAGAGGCTAATGATAGAGCAGTACATTAAGGGAAAACTTATCTTAAATCACTGCCAATAGGTTTCTGGACAGTGTTCATTTCTAGCAGTATTGTTGGAAATAATGAAATTTAAGGGAGTCTCTAATCAGCGGCTTTTGCAAAGGTGTGTAATTTGAGAGGTATAAATTATATAAACTATTTGATCTGTTCCTCTCCACTACAGAACCTGATTTAGGTGCCTGCATAATTACTAAATGAAGGTGAGCTTACTGTGGTAATTCATTTGGTGTTCCAGGGAAGGCACCTTCAGCTGAACCACCTCAGTATTCTGTGGTTGTCTTGGCTAGTATTTTGCTGGCTGGTTAGTAAGACACATTTCCATGTGCAGTTATTTTGAGCTCCTAGTTTAGAATTTGAACCAACTGCAATTTTAAAGTGTACATTATGTTTAGAGTTCCCTTGAGGTATATATGCTTATGTGATTGCTGTTACTCCCAGAATTATTGTCATACTGAATTTTATCTTTTTTATTGCATAATGGAGTGTTCCAGTTTTATATTTCGTCATATTTTTTGATGGACTGCAAGTTTATATAAATTTTTTAGCTATAATGCTAAAAGCCCCATAAAGGAGAGAGATGCCTTTCATAGCACGCAGCACTCCTATGTAAAAATGCGTAATTGTTTATTGCTTGTTTTGATGAGGAAGAGAATTGATAGACAGAGGTGCTTTCTTGTGAGAAAAGAGGGGAGGAGGGGGAGACTGGGGTAGGAACAGGTCACCCAAAGGAGGTCTTCTGTGTTTTGGTGACAGCTGCCCCCGCCCCCTCCCCAGGACCTCCAGCCCCTTGTGACTGTGTCTTTCTTTTGCTAGTTTGCTATATAAAGCTTGGAATGTGTTTCCCCTTTCTGGGATCAACCCTAGAATGAGAGTCAGCGCTGGGCCCAGTGTCTAGGCCTCCGCTGCCCTCACCAGGCTGAAAGGCGCTCTTCAGGGCGGATGAAGAGTGATTGATGACGAGTAGCACCCCTCTGCCTCTTCCCTCATGCACCCCCCCCTTCCCTTTTCCAATCAAACGTTTCCCACATTCTTATTTGTGTTTACTTACAGAGTGTGATTTGTGGCATCTATTTGGTTGTGAATAGTCATCCCCCTGACAGCGTGCCTTTCTTCTGAGCTGCTTTTCTAGGGGTGATTTAGTTGCCTTGAAAGGATTAAGGTTTCTTTGTGTACACTAAAATCAACATAGGCTTTTCTAAGCTTTGCTTGGGAAACCATACACAAATAAGCATTTTAGTTGATGGCAGATTATTCCTTTGCCCCTTATTTCCATCAAAATGGCCTTTCTTTTCTCCTCCAGAGTTTCCCCTTAATGCCTTATGCTAATTCCTGTTGGTAACATGAATGACAAGAGATGGAATCAATGCAAATCCAGGTGCTGCAAGTAGACTGACTGGTATCCACACCCACCCTCCTTCCTCCCAAGGAAGAGATTAAGAGGGGGTGGGATGGAGGTGTGGAAGCATGGGGACAGTTTTGTTAAGGGGATTAGTATTCAAACTGTTAAATATCAGGAAAACAACTTCAAAAGGAGATGGCATTGTATAGTGATAATGTCATTAATTGCTTCAAGACAGGTGCAGAGAGCCTCGACTTGTGCTTGTGGTTTGGGATCTGTTTTTACTCCCGCTAGTGGCAGTGTTTACTGGCTGGATGGTTGACAAGGCCTTCAAGGAACTGTCAGCTTCGTGTACATCAAGTTCAAGTTCTCCTGCAAAGCCACCTGCAGGTCTCTGTCTCTGTCCAGTATTCTTAGCCAAGAGCAATAAAAAGCATTTGTAAGAAAGGGCAAATTTACACCAGGTAACAAATACTAGTGGGAAAATCTTCAAAGCCTCAGTTTCTTGAACAGTCTAACAAGAGTGCAGGGGAGCTGACACATGTATCCCTCCACCTCCAGATGTTTAAAACTACACATCGCCTCTCCCTGTCAGGAGTCCCACAGTGTTCTGGCCTTAGAGAAGCATGACTTTAAGCTGCTGGTGAGATTATGCTGCTGAGCTCGGTGGCAGGCAGATTTGGTCCATAAAATTTCACTGAGGGTGGGGGAGCAGTGCTAATCTCACAAGCTGGTTGTGGTGTGGATTGGGAAGGGGCATAGATCTTAGACTGTACAGTCTGGGGAGGAAGCTCCAGGCTGAAGCAGCAGGGACTGTGGCTCAAGCTCCATCAGTTCATTTGTGAGCTTGAATAAGTCATTGAGCTTCTTTCGGTCAGATTTTTCAATCATAGCAAAACCTAGTTCAGGGCCATCTCTCTGGTGGGGATAAAACAATTAGTTGGGATGGGGGGAGGGGCTGAAACAGAAGGTGCACTGAACAGGGTTTATATCGCTGCTGCCTATTGATTTTATGTAGACTTTTCCTGTGTTGTACAGGCCATCCAGTTTAATAGAGAACTGGTAAGACTTCCGTGTCCCTGTATTCTGAGTTGCTGCTTTCTTCTGATGCCTTATATTTCCCATTTTAAAACAAATTAATCAGTTTGTACTTGGAAGTAAGAAGGACATGCCCAATGAGAACTGAGTATGACGAAAGGTTGGGGAGAAGAAGAACTTCCAAATTGCAGGGTTTAGGGTTGTAGATGTGAAAAATAGTTTAATCAAGGTCATGGTTGTCTTATTTAATCTTTATGTGTTTAAATGTTTACAGCATGTTCATGTGCATTTTATGAATTCCTTCTGTCTTTGTGACTCAACCATCTGCCAAAGAAAAAATTAATTTTCCCATTGAGACAGAGACACGGAGAGACCGACTAACTTCTTGTCCGTATTTAGTTGGTCAAACTGCTATAGGAGCAACAGGAATTGTATCCAAAATCGTGGAATATCTATCCTTATAAGGAACTCACAAGTCAATTCACTATGGTCGGCTGGTATTTATCACCCATTCTTACCTATTCTAGGTCATACTTCTAGAGATTTTGCCACTTTGATATAGAGGCAGAAATGCAGAAAATGAATCCTTGGCTGTGCAGGACCACTCTGCCAAGATAGTTCATCTCTGTTAAACTCTGAAGTTGTTCCAAGGCAGAGCCACCTGAGGAGGAAAAAAAAAGAAGAGACGTCTTCCCTGTCTGGGAGGAGACAGAAGAATAGGTATCTATAGAGCCCTCTGGTGTAGGTCCATAACCCATGGAATGGAAAAGACTTGAGTTGATATCCCTTCTAGCTTCAGAGCCCTCCTTTTAAGGGTCTAGCCTTCATCCAAGGCAAGTAGTAGATGAGAAGTGACAGAGAGACTTTTCACCCATGACTTTCTCATCTTTTTCTTTCACCTTTGCTTTACATGGTAGTGTGGTACCCTTCCAGGGAAAGCCCCCACCCCCAACTCCCTGTTAAAGAGCCTTGCTTAGCTGAATGGGCTTTCCTGAAGTACCTGGGTGGGGAATAACTCAGGTAGGAGTGATTTGTGCAAGGAGCCCTTGATTTGTGCTCCCTCCTGTGACTATCAAACCCCTTACCCTTCTAGTTTGGATCCTCCCCTGCCCCCCCCCCCCCCCCCCGCAGTCAGCCATGGAGAATTCTGGTGGGCACTCACCTGAGGAGCCCCAGTGGAAAACAGACCTCTCTGACCAGGGCTGCTTTTCTTCTTCCAGGCCCTACCTGGCCTACTAGTGGACTCACCCAGCCTCTTCTTGGGGTCGATTTTGTAGAAGGTTTCCATGGGACACAAATGGGACATTTGTCCCACACTAGTGGGACAACCCACTAGCCTAAAGGCTAGTGGGGCCTTTGGTATTTTCGACAGTATGCTTTTACCAGCAGCATAGTTAAGAGAACCTGACTAAAACATTGATTAAGGTTTGAGGAGAGGAGGTGAGAAACAGGTTACTAGAGACACTGCTGGTGTGCTGAGGTTCACTAACTAGTTACCTAAATTCTTAAGTGGTGATGATCTCACCTCATTCATTAGATTTAGCTATGAAGGGGGAATTCCTTGGTTTGTTCACCAAAGGGATGAGTTATCACGAAGGTCACCAATGGTTTTTCACAAAATTCCCTACCCTAAAATAATTCTGGGCTTTTTATGTCAGTGAAAATAAAGTGTTTGACTGTGGGATAGCTTTCCTTAAAAAAAAAAAAAAAGTCTTTACAGTGAACATATGGAGACCATTTTACAATTGCTTGCAGTGTCTTGAGTTTAGGTATAAAGGAAGACATGATATAAAGCACATCCCCGACTTGCAGAAGAGTAAACTGAGCCAATTTCAGCCTCTGTAAATTAGCTGTGCTTTTGTCATGTCTTAAGCCTCCATAAAGGAAAGCTGGATTATCACTCATCCTTCATTTTTCTTCCTCTGGACCTATTTTGTACAGTTTCTGAACGTTTTTTCCCGTCCTTCTCAAAGATAGGGACGTCTGCCGTGTGGAGAATGAAATACTATTGAAGGGTAATTGGTGCTTGATGGGAGACAAAGGAGTTA